AGCTCTGCAGGCGCTGCGCCGCCCGCCTGGAGGATGCGAGGAAGCAGCCCGGAACTGCCTGCGCTCTTCCATGGGCTGCCTGGGTCCCAGAGCGCAGTCCAGCACAGGCCTTGGAATCCCACCCAGCCCCAGTTCCTCCTCCCTCCAGGACTCGTGTTGTGACTTCCTGAAGGTGCCACCGAGATGGGCTATGAGTTCTGGATTCTTTGTCTTTGGATTTTATTCTCTGACTTTAGATATCTCCTGCCAGAAACGTAGAGGAATAAGGTCAGGCAGACGCATTGCACTGTCCATACAAGAAGGGCCTGGAAATGCTGGCTGTTGAAGGCACAGGCCTGGGAAGAGTTTCTGGAACATGGCAAATGTTCGAATTGAAAGTCATAACCTTATAACACAGTGACTTGTGTTATGGTTGTTTCGTAAGAAATGTGAAATCTGGAACCACACAAAACTGGTGGAACACTGAGAGAGGCAGCGTTTAATGAGCAGATGCTTTGTGCTAGGGTCCACATTTGGTGGCTTATTGTATTAGTTGACTTAACCAGCCACATACTCAATGAAGGTAAGTTTTAGTCATCATTTAAGATGTGAGAAAACATAAATTGTGCAGTTAAATTTCTTTATTTTTTGATACAGCGTCTTGTTGAGTAGTTCAGACTGACCTTGAACTCACTGTGTAGCTCAGGCTGGCCCTGAACTTGCAGTGATCCTTCTGCCTCAGCCTCCCAAGGGCTGGGGCCATAGGTGTGCATCACCACATCCTGCTGCTTCTTTTTGAGGTAGTGAAGTAGGCCTCAGATGTATGGCTTCTGAATCAAAAGCTCATGTTCTTCCCAGAATACTTGACTCTTAAAAACAGTGGGCATCATAAACCCTTCTGCCAGACACCTTCCCAGCCTCTCACCCTCTGTGTTAGCAGATCCTTAACAGGAGCAGGCTTGTTCAAGTTAGATACTATCGCGCAGAAATTCATCAGGATGAGAGGTATATGGAACAGATGTTGAAAATCAATATTATTCTACAACAAAAGGTAACCATGATAAATATCTTCTGTACAGACTGAAAGTTTTCATTTATTTAATTCTCCCATATTGTGAAAAATTCCCAAATGGATTCTGCTTAGCGATCTCTGGCATAAATGTAATTGCCTAAAAAATTAGGCACAGTTCTTAAAAATAGCTTTGTTTAAAGTTATAGTCCTTCAAAGATTAGGATTATTACATGATTCCTGCTTTTTTGTTCTTTTTTTTGTTATTGTTATTTATTTATTTACTTGTTTTTATATTAGATGTTTAGAAACAGCCTACCAATGTACTTTCCTGTGATTTTTTAAAATTAATTTCATCTGTTTGGTTATTTGAAAGTATTTCATTGCTTTGGGGCATAGATTGAGAGCTTCTAAGGTCATTATATTTTATTGTGACATTTTACTATTGCCTACAAAAAGTAAGATACAGAAAAACTTACTCCTAGGTAAGTTAGAAATTGTCATCAAGAGTACAGCTAGACTGCTTATCTATATTTCACATTGGATATGCAGATGTTTTCAGTAACAGAATCATAGACAGGTTCATTGAAGACAGAAATGACCTTGAAGTAATCTTCCACGTCTTTACCTTCCAAAGGCTGGAACAAAACAAGACCTGCTCGTGTATAGTCAGACTCTCAAATCTTTTTTTTTTTTTGGTACTGGGAATCAAACTCAGGACCTTGTGCTTGTGAGGCAGGTGGCAGAACTACTGAGCGAAATCTCCAGCCCTCTCAGTTCTTGACATATATTTCCGGTTACCTTAGGCTTAACTGATCATAAACCAGGGGAGCCTGAGAAGATAGTTACATCAGCAGCTGTATTAAGGATCTTATTTAAAATTTTAAATTTTCTATTCCATTCTTTTTTTTTCTCTCTCTCTGCTGGCACCGGGGATTAAACCCAGGGCCTCACATGCCAGGCAAGCACTCTGCCACTGAGCCACACCCCCATCGGTTCATGAACTGAATTCTCTTCACAATTCTGGGCACAAACCTGAACTGGATGAGAATGAATCAAATTTCCCCATAAGGTTAACATTGAACCTAATGAATCTTTTAAACTAATTTCATTGGTGCACTTTAGATATACGTAATGATGACATTATCATCATAGGGAATTTGTATCTGTACAAAATATATCTTGATTCTTCTTTTTTCCCCAGTCCCTTCCCTTCAATCCTTCTTCCCCTCTTTATTTACAAAAGCTTTGCTTCTACTTTTTCCTTCCATCCCCCACCACCCTTGTCTAACCCACCCTTGTCTAACCATTGAATTTGGTTGAATTCTTGTCCAACTCGGTTTGTGACTGGAATCGTGAGAGTTCGTGAACCAAAGTAACACATCAGGTTATGTTGGTAAAAGAACATCAAAAGCAGCCAGCATTTCCAAAGCACCTGATAGAAATAGGACAGTACCTTCAACAATATTGGTAAAATGACTTAACTTTTTCTCTACTGCAGAATTTGCAACCTTGCTGGGAAAGGAAATACACAACAAAGACAAAAACAGTTTTAAAATATACTAAATGCCCCGATTTATATCACACATGTGGAATGATATTTCCAGACACCACATCAGGTAGTGGAATTACAGAATTAGTAAGTTGTAGTCTGTCCAGGGAGACACAGAAGTAAACAGTTTCTGTATCATCTGACCAATGCTATATGAACAGCTGAAGAGTTCAGCTGAGGGACAGCTGCTTATCACCAAAGTTTGTTATGCTGGAATCAAGGCTTTATGGAAGGGGGGGATTTTATGGGGGCTGTAATTTTGTCTTCCATTAATCTTAGGAAGTAGGTGCTATTATGTCCATTTTCAGATGACGAAATTGAAGTAAAGAGAGTTTGGTCAGTGTGACAGCAAGTGGTGGATCCGACTTTGATTTAAGCAAGTCTGATTAGATGTGTGCTGATCAATTTGTAATGAACTGAATGGCTTATGGACAGAATTGTTGAAAATAAAATTGAAATAGTTCTAAAAGATCTAGACTTTGTGCTAGACTGAGGAAGTTGCTTAGACATTTCCAGGGTGAAGCCTGTGGCAGCATTTTGAAGTCTGGGCTTTCTGTTTGCATTTGACTTGTGTTGTCTCATTTTATTACACAATAATCATAAGTGGTTAATTATTATCTCCAATTTATGGATAACAAGCTTGCTCAATTATTGCTTCTGTCAGAATATTGGCAGTTTTCCTTGTGGTGATTGTTTATATTTTTCTCTCCTTTTCAGTCCATTCCTCATTAATGTGCCTTACCTGAACTTCAGAGATAGAGTTATTTGCCCATCCAGAAGCACTTTAATTTGCTTATCTTTAGCATAGCACAGCTATTTGGTAGCTAGATTGAAATATTTTTGTTTGTTTGTTTTGGTGGTTGTTCAGGGCCTTAGCACTGATCTACATCCTCAGGCCCTTTTCATTTTTTATTTTGAGATGGGCTCTTGGTGAGTTACTAAGTTGTCCAGGCTGAGCTCAAATTTGTGATCCTCTTGCCTCATTTTCCCAAGTGCCAGCATTATAGATGTGTACCACCATATTTGGTTAGGTTGGAATTTTTACAAAGAGCAAAGACCAAATGGAAGCTGAACAAACACAAAAAGGAAGCAATTTGTAAATGAAATGAAAGGTTTCTTTCTATCAGATTTCTGGTGCCCTAATTTCAGTAAAAGACTAGAGTCCCTAATTGAACACACATAAACATAGTGAACGCATTTATTTTGCTTGTTTGTTTGGTACTGGAGATTGAACTCAGGACCTCACACTTGCAAGACAGGCTGTGGAACCACTGAGCTAAATCCCTAGCCCTATTAAGTTCATTTCTATTCCTGGCTTTCTTCTTTCTCACCTCTGCTTTCTTGCCAGAGGAGCTCCTGATTGTATCCCAAGTCAATGGACCCTAGGGCTGTCTCCACTGTGCTTTGTCCTTTTCCTGAAAACATTCAAGTTCCTGCTTCAAACTCTCTCCCACACCCTGGGATCTTGTCTGTACCTCGTTCTTAGGGCAAGAGTTAATGACAGCACTGAGGTGTTACTGTTATAACAGATCATTGCAAATTTAGTGATTGGACAAACCACCCAGATTGATTCTTATTGTTCTGGAAATTAGAAATCTAAAATAAGTGGATATGGTTGGCTTTTTCCTATGTGTAAGGGAAAATCTATCCTCTGCCTCTTGTGGTTGTCTAGCTGCTGTCCCCATTCCTTGGCGGATGTCATTTCAACCTCTGTTTCTTTTGTTGCTTTGCCTTCTTTAATTTTTACCTTCCTGCCTCTTTCTTATGAGGACCCATGTGATAGAATATGCTCAGAATAATCTCCACATCTCAAGATTAATGCCATCATGCCTACAGAATGCCTTTTCCTAAGCAAGTTAACATACAGATCCTGGAGGGTAGGATGTGGACGGTTTGAGGGGGCAGTTTTGAGGCTTCAAAGCCCTCAGAGTGTACTTCCTTCTTGCCCAGGGTGGCTGGAACATTTCACAATGACTGACTGGATCGAGTCTGTTCTCATACACTGGTCCTCATAAGGTGCACCCCTTGCAAAAATACTGGATAGATCAATATTCTGCTTTGTTTGCTGTATTGATTCTGGCAGGGGTCTGTAGGTTAGCATTTGGGCAGTAAAACCTGGGTGAGTGTCTTTTGCAGAAGGAGGAAGAGAAAGTATATACATGAGCAGTAAAGTAGAAAGACTGATAATGTTCCATACAGTAATGTTTATAAGAACTAAAGAAGCAGGATCATTGGCACCTCATCATTTTACTGGAGAGGACACCAAGGAGAGATTTTTTTAAAGACTGGCAACTAACAGCTGCCTTTCGGTTTCCTATGCCTCCTCCCATGACACCAACTCCTGGTCTTTCAAACCACAGTTGAAGAATTTCTGCTTGAGATGTTTGGGGAGGTAAGATCCTGAATAAAAAATTCCTGAAATAAAGGTTTTATGCTCAGATTGTGAAAACAGCAACATTTTTTTAAAAAAGCAGATTGAAATTATACAGGTTATAAACAACCATCACCATCACAACAACGTAGGATAATGAAAAAAAGCCTTAAAACAAAAAGTAAAAGCAGGCAGAGGAAAAACTGCCATGTATAAGACCCGATTTTGTGAAATGAAGTGTTTGTTGATCAGTTTAGAAGGTGAGTTTGTTGAAGAAACAATGGATTTTTATCCTAGGGCTAAAATTCTATCAGTGTATGTTTATTTACATTTTCTGGTGGCCAGTGATAACTCATTTGAAAAAATAATCGGAGGAAAAGTAAGTCCCATAATGCCCACCATGTATGCTATCTCTGCTCTGTTCACACACCCACATTTCACCATGGTTACTTGGTGTGGCTTTGTTTGCTGCTCTTAATACAGATCTATTTTTTGTTGTTGTTCTTTTGCTTTTTGAGACAGGGTCTCACTATGTAGTTCAGACTGCTCTGGAACTCACTGTGTAGCCCAGGCTGGTCATGAACTCACAGTGATCCTCCTGCCTCAGCCTCCCAGTACTGGGATTACAGGTGTGCGCCACCATGCCCGGCT